TTATTCATATTCTTTCGAGATTTTATAATATATAATTATAAGCTCCTTGATATGATTATTCTTATTTATATAATTAAAAATATTAGATTAAAATGATAGGGTATGATTTTTTGATCGCAATGCTAAATATTGTCTGATGCTATAATATTCAAATTTGATTATAATATCACAATCTTTAGAACAAACCAAAAAGATTTTTATCACGTATTTGCATATAATATTATATAAATTCATCGTTTGTCCATATATGATATAATAGTATTCTAGTATAATTGATATTAAACTGGATAAATAAGTATGTATTTTTATCATCGAGAAATTCAGATAAAAATGAAAAAGTTAAAAGAGTGATTACAGTACTAAGATAACTGTATAAATACAATAAAAATTATTAAAAGCATAAAGTTTTATTATTTTGTTTCTCGAGATATTTTCTTTCATTCTTTTTTCTATTTTTGTAACTTTAATACTCTTTTTTTTATATTTCTGGCTATCTACTTATTTGTCTATTTATGTTTCCTCTATTATTTATATTATACATATTTATGCCATATGTACATACATGTATAACTTAATTTCTCTCCCTTAATTGCACTTAATAAAATCACTGTTTAAGGAATTATTTTTGCGAATAAATGCATCTTTTTTTTGTAAAATTAATTTATTTAAAATTAATCAAAATATACGAAGCATGAGACAAAGGGAATATTAGAGTTATGAACAATATGAGATATTAGATTACAGAAATAGTAACTCTTGTTTAAATGAAGCCTTTTATTACAGCCAGCATTTTATTACAAAATGACGTCATTACTTCATATCTTCTATCCTAAATAATCTAAATCAATATAATAATTATTATAATAATATCCAAATCACTATAACAATATTTATAATAATAATGCTATAAAAAGTTTAAGTATTTGGTATTAGACAGCAACTTATATATAAAAAAAATATATATATAATATATATATATATATATAATATCTAAAGATATTATAAATTTATAGTGTTTATAAAAATATCTTACAAATGACATCAAATAGTCTAATATGTTATATAATATAAATTATTTATCATTGAGAGAAAATAAATGTGTTAAAATTTTATCAATAGCTTTCCCAAATTACTAATAAAATATTAAATATTATAAAATCGAGATATATTAAAAATGTTTAAAAATAAATTATTTACAATTCAATATAATAATAAATAAACATACGATAAATAAACGTATTCTTATTATTAGAAAGTTAATATAAGCAAATGAAAGTTTTGCATCAGATTATCTTTTTATTATACGTATGACTTCTTTCTAGGAGAATAACTTCTCGCGAAAGTGAAATTTATTGAAGTCAAACTTCTTTTTAACATCGTGTAGGACTTTCCAAAGGTATTCTCTAGTACTGTTTATCAGTTTATTAATTTCAGACAAAATTTTTTGATCTTGTTTGAAATTAGTTTGTGAAAATGTTTCCACCTGAAACAGATTAGTTCGAGATACTAAATAAATAGTAATTTATTTTTATAGAAAGAAATTCGATGCATTATAAGCTTTAATTTAATATAATAAAATAAGTATATAATATTAAGATATATGCCATATATAAAAAATATTAAACTCTTTAATTACGGAAATGTATTATATTACGCCAGAAAAGGATTTTCTTTTATTTTCCTTTTTATTTAAGAAAAACCAGAATGAATTATTATAATCCCAGATAGAATGATTTTCTTGAAATTTTTTTAAACTATTTTCTGACCGGTTTAATATTAATTAGTGAATTATAAATATTCAGTCTATATTTTATGAATTTAGCATACATCGATTTTACACTTGCTTTTATAATATTCCTTAAAAATATAATGTATAACCTTTATATAAATATAATATTCTTAATTATTAATATTAATTTAATTATCTAAAATTGCATTAATTTATAATTTCTCATAAAACGGTCTTTTTATTTAAAGCTTATAACAAGAAATTCCAATAATATTGTAGCATTTGCAATGTTCTAACAATTTTGCAACTTTGTAGCAATAATAATTGCTACAAGATTTTGTGGTTTTAGGGCTAAAATGATTTTGATAGCCAATAGATCAATACTATATATAATAACTATGAATTTATATTATAATTAAAATTTACCTCGTCAATTTCTTTAAAAAAATAAACATTGTCAAGAATAAGTTTTATCACTGCAGGTGCACTAAGTGATCTATAAAAACAAAAAAATAACATGTCAACAAATTTTTATGATTAAGAAAACAGTATAATAGATAACTATGAAGAGAAATATTATTACTTAGGTTTTATAGCTTCAAAATTGTTTAATATGTATTTAAGGATTTTATCGTTGCGTGAATGCCTCTTAAGAATAAATTTGAAGACATGAGCATGGTCATCATTGTCAAAAAATGAAGTATTGAATGCTAATATATTTAAATACTTGATGATGATATTAGGATTTTCAGCGCAACTCAAGCCCATCAATAATCTTTTTGGATCCTCATTTAGTTTTCCTCTTATATATATGTCAAACATTTTATTCCAAGTAGTAAGATTGGCTGCCATCATACCGGTACAGTACATAAATTTTTCTCTTCGTGGAATTCTAAAATATAAATATTTATTAAGAAAGAATACATACATTTTATACAGTAACTGATTTCTATTTTATCAAATTTCGTATTTTTACGCGCGCGCGCGTTCTCTAATCCTGTTGCGTGTTTATTAAACAATCATAAATTTATGAAATTAAATTTTCATTCTGCGCTATTGTCCTATTTTGTAGTATAAAACACTTGTTATATGTCATCACATAATAATACTACAATAAAAAAACAAAATGAAGAAAGATATATCGTAATAGGTAGTGCAGCTTGTCATTTCATTGTACTTATATTTTTGCTTGTACAACGCCATTTATTCTGTCATTATATTATTAAATAAGAATGGAGAGTGACTTATATAAAAAATGTAAGACGAATATTTGATCTTGACAATTTGACGAAATAGAGAGTTGACTCTATATATATGCACGTGTATGCAAGCACACACCAAATACAATTTACGAAATAAGCAAGAATGTAAGATTATTTATTACTTGTAAGTTTCGGGATTCATGAGATATCTGTTTAATTTAAACGCGGTCACTTTCTTGCATATCTTGTTACCAAGATTACATGCACATTTTAAAGCGTTTATCCTTGTCAATTTTGTGACATCGTCATCATTATGATTTCTTCTGTATTTTATGTTCTGAAGAAACTTATGGAGGAGTTGCTTGTAGCGTTCCTAGAAATCATAAAGTAATGTATTCGATTTGAGACCACCCCAGACATGGCCAATGTACATCTTTACGCACATTTGTTAAATATTGGCGAATATTTATATTGATAAATATGCATGCCATGTCGTATGTGTGTGTGTATGTGTGTGTGTGTGTGTGTGTGTGTGTGTGTTTGTAATATTTGCTAATTTGGCGTACATTAGCCATCCAGGTAACAACGTATTTATCTTGTTGTTGGCATGTTGCTTGCTAAATATGTATTGTTAAGTAAATAAGTATAAGTTGCTAGTAGAATTGCAGCAACTGAGTCCTCATTTTGTTGGAAACTTGATACCTTCACGATAACATTGAGTAACTACTTGCCAATAATTTCTGCTTACATGATTTATTGATACTTATCAAACACATAATCAACACATGACAATATAGTTTGTATTACAGATTATGTTATATACTTTTAATTGCGCCATATTATATCTTTATGTACTTGGGATAGTGGTTTCATTATGACGTAAAAGATATACATAATTTGCTAGACTAATTTAATATGTTAATTAGAATGGATATTATGTGCTCACAAACACATGAAATGATTGCAGCTCTTTGTAATTGTATATTTAATACTTTATATTGTTCGTTTTTTACTATATTTTTATTTTTATTTTTTTAATATTATAAATTATTGCTATATGAGAATATCATTTCTATATATTAAAAAAAATCTGCTTTAAAATCATATATTACATGCAAATAGTATAACTTTTCTACATATTAAAGGCTTTAAAAAAAAATCCAAATTTAAGAGTAAACCAATTTGTATAATATGAAAAAAAATTAGGTTTATTCATAATACTTTATATAACTTAAATGATATAAGGTCATACCTTGACATGTTTCATTTCTGGTAGTAAGAGAGGCTTCGGCATAGTTTGTATAATATCTAACAATGGTTGCCATGCTACACCATTTGTATCTCGCTTGAGGTAGCTTATCAGTTGAAGGTATAAATAACCACCTATTCGATCATCTATTACCATGGCATGCAAATCAGCAATGATTTGAGCACGATTAAGAACGTGTATATTCTCATACTCATTAGTATTTAAGTAATGTGAAATTTTTTCCCAATTTCTGATATCGTAATTAACACGATAGTAGCCTATTGTATTATTCATTGTATGTATTATTAAATTTTTTAAATAAATTTAAATTTATCAAGATATATTTCAAAATATCCATTTTAACTTTTTTTTTAATGTAATATATTATACACAAATGTAATATATTATATACCAATATCACACAAAGTATACCAGTTATAGATTCTAAATCAGTTTATATATATATTAATTAATATTTGGCACAATTTTGAAAAATTAAATACATAAATTCCTTTTAAGCTCTTTTAAATAAAAAAATACATGCAAATATATTTAATAAAAACGATGTAAAACTTTCGTAATGATAAAACAAAATAAAATATATAAAAAAGATTAAATATGTTTATATATATATATATATATATATATATATATATATATACATGTATTATACTTACCACTAAGTTGCAAATTAACAATAATCCAATCATCTGAGTTAATTATAAAGCTTATGTTATGTTGATCTGGTCGTAACCAATAACGAGGTACAGTATTGGAGAAATCCGGATTAGATTGTGTAGCGAAAGTTATAGGGATCCACCATTTAGTAGTTTTATTCTCACCATATTGTTGGACACACGTTTGTGATATTGTTACTTCGCCAGTTTCGTAATTTCGCTCCACATATACAAGAGGATAACGCCTTTGATTCATCCAAGTATCCATCACTTCTTTTATTGTGTAGTTTTCATGGGGGATATCAGATTCGTCTAGAGCATTTTGCATGGAGCTCCACAAATCGTTCGGAGTGGCCGTACTAAACTGACTACATATTTGACAAACATGAAGTAATGTATATTGAGTAACGTATATTGATTAAAGAATGTAAGTGAATATTTAATTTAATCAGATGTAGATACATCATGTAAAAATTTATTATACCGTTTTAAACTGACATATATTAAATTATATTAGGTGTTGGAATTAATTCGTAGCGTTTTACAAGTGATGGGAAGTACTTTCATTAATGTATTTTTTAATGCTCATGTGAAATAAATAACATTCTTTCATTAAAAAACGCTACGAATTAATTCCAACACCTAATAATTGGATAAAAACATAAAAGATTCTATTTCTCATACGTTTTTATTATAGTTAACGTTACGTATATTATAAAAATTCATGTAAAAGTGCGTTTTTATCAATAAAAGCGCTTTCCAAAAGTGAACCAATGTATACAACCTATAATTGAACAACAATAATCGAGGGCATATAAATTCTGATGATGCTATAAATATCATTATAAATATTAAAAGTATTATTATACTTATAATATTTAATATTACGACATATAATAATAATGTAATGCTACATTAAATATACTTACTGTTTGACCAAATATGTAATAAGACCCTTTCGAAATACCTCAGCGGTAATTGTATTATATAACATGCGTAATAAAATTGGCGCTGTGATAATATACATCATAAAATATCAATTAAAAATACATTTAAAGTGGATATATTTAAAATACATACGTAATAAATATATGCTATGTAGAAAGATGCATTACATTAAAAAAAGGATTTGTTGGCTGATAGCCATCTGTTTATCTTTTTCTTTGTACACATTAAAGTTAAAGTATCTATAAATAGCAGTTTAATTTTATTTTTACGTTATCTTACATTTGTTATAAATTTCAGTAAAATAACGCGACGGAAGTTCATCTAGAATATCATCAAATGAAGACTTCAATGTGACAGAATTCAATGAACCTATATCTTGAAGTAAGCATCGTTGTATGTTCTCAATGTCCAATAAATACATTACTGGCAATTTGAAAATCTGAAGAAAAAGAATGCTTTAAAGTGATTAAATATTAAAAATTCTGAAAAACTCGCATTAGAAAAAAAATTACTAATTTATTACTTTCAGAAACAATACTATTTTATATTTTATAATAGACTATATTAGCTCGTAGATTATATTAACTGTTTATTATTTTTCAAGAAAAGAGAGCAATATCTCATTTACCTAATCATTTTTTAAAAATATTGGAGATTATTTAATATGAAAATAACATTACTGACCAAAATAATATTTGAGATATAAAAATACAAAATGTTTGAATTTTGTTATTTATTATCTTAAATACTAAATGCAGCGGATGCAGAGAATAAAATATTCATGAATTTTAATAAACTATTATACTATTCTTAAGTAATTCCTAAATATGAAAGAGTAATAATGTTCAAATATAAAAAAATTAAAATAACGGATCTTTGTAAGATACGACAATTATTTATAATATTTGCTAGAAATTATTTAAAATGAAAATAAAAGTGAGATATGAAAATTCAAAATATTAAATTTTATTATTAATTTCTAAATGTAGCAAATGCAAAGAATAAAATATTTTCGAATTATAATAATATAATTACAATAATTTTACGATTTTTTAAATATAAAAGTAATGTTTAAATATAAAAAACATTAAAATAGCAAATCTTTAATTCAACATAAAAACAAATATTTTTAATAAGAATTTATATTAAAATTTTTATAATCCGTTTCTAATAAACGTGTTACGAGTTTTTTTAAACTAAAGCATGCGTTATGCACATTCAGTACCATCTTGATATATTTTACAAACATATGGTATTTAATTATATTTAATAGGTATTATCTTACACTGAGAAGAATGATTTATTTTTATTTGAAAATAGACAAACCAGAAAATTCTGATTTAATCAATCGGAATTCCGGTTATCTCAATTATAATTTTATAGTAATTTTAAGAAAATATTCTCAGTGTAATCTTAGAATAAAACTGTACTATAAAATCCTTTTTTCAACAAACAACCTTGCATTAATAATATTAACAATATTTAATAACCTTTTCGACTACGAGGTTTTGAATAAACGAAGCAATTCCTTCATTTAACCATAGGTAAGGCCACAAAGATGGAGTGACTAAGTTGCCAAACCATTGAAGTGCAAGTTTATGTGTTATAAACATTGTTATGAAAATTTTCTCATATGTTGGATCCATCTCTTTATTGTAGATAAGATTTGAATAACTGAAATAATATGATATAAATGTAAAATGTCATTGAACGTGCAGTCTGAGTTAAGTTTGAGTAATTATATTACAATTATGTTATGTCATAATTCTCTTACGTAAATAATTTGAATATTTGGAATTTTTTTCTTTTTGTACATATATATATATATATATGTATATATATATATATATATGCAGGGATGAGAAATAAATAACACCGTAATTTTTACAGTTATTTTTTGTAATAACATTGTAGTAATTTCAATTTTTTTGTCGATAAAGATAACTTTAACTAAAAACTAAAAGTTAGAGAAATCACTTTTAAAAAGTAGCTTATCATTATTACGAGTTATCCATTGAAAAAAAATAACTCGTTGATTGTAACGTGTCGATTACTTTTATTTATTTACATTACTTTTACTTATGCTTAATTCGTTACAAATAATGTTACTTTTCTTAATAAATAAATTTTTTCAAGAAATAATGCGTAATGATAAAAATTCATTTTTTTCATAAATGTCTTCATAAATGTTCCATCTTTAACTTACTGTTAGCTGTCATCATCAAAAATTTCAACGTATCAGTTAAAAATTGACCAAACTGTTATTATAAAAAGTAACGGTAGAAATAATGAAGTTACCCATATCTGTGCGTTCCCAGATAGGTAAGTCTGTAGAAAACTATTTTTTAAATGCTACATACTTGATCTATAAAATAACAAGAATTAAATGTACATAATAATGTTAACAGACTGCTAGAAAAAACGTAATAGAATCTGCAAACATCAGATAATGTCGGCAGGATCTGCTCAACAATTTGCCATCACATTATATCGACAGGCGATGTTAACAGAACACAAGTCTAATGTGGATGGCAGTTGATGAGAGATTGCCGTCATTTTCTGCTCAAACCTGCTAACAGTCTGCTAGAAGATTGCAGACATTTTGTTATCTGGGTATAATATATGTACATATATGTTTGTACTAATATATATATATATATATATATATATATATATATATATATATATATATTAGTACAAACATATATGTACATATATTATACCCAGATAACAAAATGTCTGCAATCTTCTAGCAGACTGTTAGCAGGTTTGAGCAGAAAATGACGGCAATCTCTCATCAACTGCCATCCACATTAGACTTGTGTTCTGTTCACA